CGCATGAACCTGAACCGCCTTTTCAAAACCGCAACCGAACCGAACCGAACCGTTACATTCATGATCTTTGGCCTACAAGCAATAGATTCTCAACCACAACACTGAAACCAGTGGATCCGAGATGATCCGAGGATCTTCAAGGCCAGAAGCACAAAACAGGACCACACAGCCGATGCCATCTTTTGGGAATCTCATCATCTCATCTGGCTGCTCTGGCTCATTTGCTTGTGAATTCGCCAGGGCGTCGCACTTGAAAACAGGCAGCTTGCAACTTAAATGGACACGCTAGTTTCTAGGAACTTGGGATTGAAAACCCAAAGTCCGAAGTCATTCGGAAAGGGTCGCTCCGCCGCCGTTGCGTTGTACCTGGTTCCGGACGCAGACCCCAACCCTAACAAAACAGCTGGCATGGCCAAAATCCCGCCATCTCAGGCCATGGTGCTCGTCACACTCGGTAGAGAACTTGCGCAACTCGGACTGGAAATCGCCGAATATTTTGGCTCGATCACCCTCTGACATGGCCGGGAAGACATGCGACCTTGTTCACTCCGGAGTGTACTCACAAAGACATACGACTGAGAAGGCTGTGCTGCAGTGGCCTTCGGACAATTGCAATAAAGCGACCAGTCATCGGTTGGACTTTGTGCCAGCAGTCTCGGCATCGGAGTGCTTGTCAGAGCCATCAGCAAGGCTCCGCCGAGGGCTACCTCTTTGGGTCCTACAAGCGGGCCTTCCTGCCGTAAACTCTTGGACCAGGAGAACCTCGCAGATCCAGAGACCAACGTCTGGTGACCGTTTGTCAAAATAAAGTTGTTGCTCAAAGTTGCAAAAACCATTCAGACAAGGCACGCGCAAAACGATGCATCTTGCGCATAGGCTTGCACCTGGCCCACCTGCTCATGCCCCACCGTAACGAGCTCCTCGGCTCATCAGGAAGCGACGATGGAGCCGTGAGACAACCAACACCCCTGAACAGAGAATTGCAGCTCCGATGCACAGAAGCGCGTCAAGAAGTTGATGAAGATCAGCTTCTTGCGGGAATTTGGAACAGAAGGCCAAAGCTCATGCACCTGCCCGGTGGAAAAAGGATCCGAGAAAGCTTGCAGCTGCGTGACCGTCTGCAGCAAGAATAGCTTCAGCTCCTCATCTGCTGCGAGTGCCATCTCTCCACGTGAACCGGTCCCATAGTAGTGATCCAAGTAATCTGCCACGAACTTACGCAAGATGCGCCAGTACCTCAATGCTTGCTGATAGTACGAGGTATCCAGCCCCTGCTCTTGCTTGCGCTTGATGACCTTCTCCCTGTCAAACAACGTCTCCATGAGCTCCATCGGCCCCTCACTTCCAGAAGCTGTGTCCAGCACATACTCGGGTGGCAGAAGCTTGTACGCCGAGGCCCAAGCAAGCTGCAGACCCTCGTTGTCCAAGGGGAGAAGCTGGGGTACAAAAGAATCTCGCGTCACGAGGGTCTGCCTTGCCAGGTCGTTGATGTTGATTGTTCCATACGAGAATGGCAGCAGAAAGCGTCGAATCGGATGATCGCTTGAGAGCTGCTCACGCATTGCCTGCACAACGACATTCGCAAGCTGCAGATGACACCCGTACAGGTGGTCCACAAGAGTGACGAATGAAAACAAGGAGCTGCGGAAACAGAATTTGGCATACTCCCACGTTCTGGAACCATCAGGAAGAAATGTGGTTGACCTTGGCATCTCCCACGGTTCCACCTGCTCTTCACGGACGATTTTGACTACCTTGAAGTCCTTATCAAAATACACATCGTTCCCGTAGTGCTCGAAGCCGTCCCTAACTGGCAGCGCAGCCAGTTGATTGGTTCGCACTACGTATGCACAGCCAGTGTGGAGCGACGGATCCGCCTTCTCCAGACGGTGCGCCCCAAGTCCGTGCAAACAGAAGTGGGCCAAGGCTCGATCCGAAGTCTTGTCTTTCCATTCCTGCACCACTTTGGGGTAGATGTCCCGACAGACTTCCATTCCATATTCAACTGGGTTTTCTCCTTCTCTGAAGCTGCTCAAGCTGCTGATTGCTGGCGGTGCTGAGAAAAACATCGAGGAAGTCATGAACTCGGCAGACGGAGCCAGCCGCACCAGCGACTCGAAGAGTCCACCTGCATAAAGCTCGTCCTCTGAGAGAAACGGCACCCGTACCGCAATGGCGTACTGCAGCAAGCCGGTTGTCAACTTTGCCTTCGGCTTCAAGTCGGTGACTCTCCACTCCGCGGCCTTTGGCAGCTGGTAAAAAGTCAGCCGCGTGAGCTGAAGAAGCTTGGCACCCTTCCAAACCAGAGCTGGAGGTGGTCTCAAGCACGCCAGATAAACCATCCTGGCTCAGCTTCAGCTAGAGTCTTTTTCTCTCCACAGGACTGCCCTTTTCTGACGAAAGCAGCACAAATTCGAGTACGAAAGCTGTGACCTCCCAACAATGCCGAGCATCACAGAACCCGCTAACCACCCGAACAGGAGCAGCAGCACCAGTGCCAGTGCTGCGACGAAAGGATAAAGGACCAGAAACAAGGCAAACACGACTAGACCCAGCGTCGCATAACACCTTGGTGGAGCAGAGCAGGTGCAGCTGCTCAGCTCAGACCCACAAAGCAGCTGGATAGACAAGCGGCAGCGTGCTGCAACAACCACAACCATACGCGGACGGGCAACGCAAGCACGTCTGGCAATCCTGGAACACTCAGCAAAAAATGCAATAAACATCCAGAAAAACCTGATGCAACTCCAGCCTTCGTTCCATGACCTATGGCATGCAAGGGACGTTCAGGGTGCTGTAGGCAGGCTCAGGTGGCTGCACCACGGGCCAGCTTGGCGCGATGGAGCTTTCTCCTGCCAACAAGAGCAAGTGACAGTTTGTGGATGTTCCGGCTCTTATCGGCTCCTGCAGGAAGCGGCAGCAGCGGGGCCTTCTCCATGCTCTGGGCTCAGCTCAGCGCCCATGTGCCACAAAATAGCGCTTGACCCTGTTGCGGAATCAACACCCCATTCCTGCCTTTCCCCAAGTGACTACAACGCAGGCTGCAGGGTTTTCTTCTTGTGGCGTTCGACTTAAGGCGCCTCAAGTTAGTGGCCACCCCAGCAATCTTTGATTGCCAAGGAAGCAGCTTGCGTGTGTTGGAGGCTGCGGGCCCATCTCCAGAACGCCTTACTCACTGTCCACAAGCAAGCGATTCTGGCCTCATATCATCATGCGGGAGCTACTGTATCACCCCACACCCCGGAAGATCATTGCAGGCTTGAATTCTTCTCTTCTCCGAAGTCTCAGACAAGCCCAGCCGCGTGAAATTGAAAATTTTCGAGTGGCTGGGTCAGCCGGCGGGCTCACCCGGACACCAAACTGTGCATTGCCACCTGCGTGGCGCAGAAAATCAATAGCATCACCAAGCAAACGAAAATTGGGTTATCGAAGCTCCAGAATCCACCACCTGGAAGCTGCTCCTGCAGCCCAGCTTCTACGGTCTGAACCGCTTTCGGAAGCCCAGATGCCTCGCCAGCTTCTATAAGCTTGGCCTCACGCAAATATTTGTCAAAGAGCCACCTCTCGGGCTTTCTTTCCTGCGCGGGCGCTATGGCCAAGTCTTGAAGATACTCTTTCATGTCGCCCTTGCGCTTGCTTGCAGCCAATTCACGCCGCTTGAAGGGAACAAGGACGTACCACCAGTATGCGACAGGAATTATTGCACAAAGCAATGGGACTAGAATTTGCACGGCTGACGGTTCTGCTGGCGCGGAACCAACGTCCAAGACTGCTGCCGCAGGCAACGTGACGCGCAAGTCAGATGCTCTGGAGTGTATCTCACCTCTAGGAGCAGACGTTGCAGAGTTCACAAAGTAGGGCCACGAGGGCCAGATAATGCAGGCACCAAGACCCAGCACTGCAACTTTAAGGTATCTTCTCCGTTTCTCGCCGCCGAATGTCACGTTCACATTCCATGCGGGCATTAAGAAACCCTTGCTACTCAAGGCAGAACTACGCGCAAGATGTCCCTCGGGCCACGCATCATCAAGCAATGTGCAAGTACGACAAGCATCCATACGCTGCTGGCAAGGTCTGTCTATGCTCTCATGCAGAATCGAATTGCTCGTTCTAGTCATTTTAGTCACCATGCCGGCGATCTCTTGGCCAGCGAAGCACTCTGCAATCGAATTCTAACGAAACAAGAAGAGACGCCCTGTGCGACTTGTTCAAGTCGGCTGTCCACGTATCCTGGCCCACACCGCCTCATCAATCCATCTCTGCTCCCGCGAAGACCACGGAACAACAGCAGCGATTGCTGTGGAGATGCCTGCGCGCACGTTAAACTACACACTGCTGCTCTGTCTTCCATCACGACAATGCCACTAGCATGGGCACATGCGTCAGCCGTAACCTAGCTCCAAGGGGCTACAAACCTAACCATGCTTCCATGGTTGTCCAATCAGCAGGCCACATCCGAACCAGCTAACCCGTCGATTGTGCTCTGCAAGAAAAGAAACACACGAACATGCCATGAACTCTTGTGCGTGGGCACCCGAGCCTGCAACTTTGCGTGGGTTGTCCGTGTATAAGACAACACTGTCTACTTCAAGGTGCTCAAGCGCCGCGGCAGCCGCACGGAAGCTGCGTTCGTCGGGTGCGAAACCAAGGCGAATGTTCGCGTCTTCTTCGGAAAGCCGCTCGGATCCATCCTCAACTCAAACTGCGAAAAGGACTCCATTGCGTTGGTGCATCATGGGAGCTCAATGTTAAGGCGGGCCTGCAAAACGTAGCTGCGGAGCTTGTTGCTCAAGCCGATGCCCTTGCCTTCGTGGCCCTGCTCTCGTGCCACAGAGCTCACATGCTGCATATATACGAGAGCTCAACGAATCCCGCCTGCAAATATAGCATCGCACCGTTTCTATGTTCGTCGTTCCCCAAGACGTTGAGCATAAAGTCTCGCAATTGCGGCCCACATTGGCAACGTGTGGAATCAAACACATCGCCGAGCAAGCACTCGGAATGAATTCGCACCGGGATGGGAACACCACCGAGTCTCGAGACATTGCCTGACATCAGGGGACAGCTCTCATCCGTCGCTCTTGCCTGCTGAACTGCTACTTGAAGCCAAGGGTGGTAGCGGCGCCTCATGGCGCTACATCTCCTGATCAAAACCCACCAGCTGTGGGACACACAGTTCCTCTTCTAGACCTCCTTACAAGCACCGGTTTCATCCATTTGGAAAAGCCCAAGGCGAAATCCTAAGATTGTCTTGCAACCACCATACCGCAGAACTCCATCGGAACAACCCACTCGGAAAGTTAGATCTTTCTGGTGCCGGAAGACCCAGAAGCACGAATTTGGCAAAAGTTTACGGCAAAAATCGAGCTGTAAAGTAAGGAATGTTGGACATTCCCAAGGCCGTCATACCCTTCGGGCACTGAAACCCCACACCGAAAGCCCTGCAACATGAAGAACTCAGAAACAAGCAACAAGCAAGCCAACATCAGCCCGAACTTCAAGCCTAAACGATTAGATAGCGAGGACTTAAGCAAACTCACAACAATCGAAACCAAGTACGAGCGCGCCGAAAGTGTTTAAGGTAGGGAGGTAACGCTGCTCCATCCATCCATCCGTCCATCCATCCATCCATCCATCCATCCATCCACCCGCCCATCCCATCGCGTCCCATCCCATCCATCCCATCCATCCTTCCCCATCCATCTCTCCATCCTTCCATCCCCGGATCCCGCCCTCCCTCTCTCTCTCTCTCTCCCTCCATCTATGGAAAAACCCTCCGCGACACGCTAAGCAGCAATATTGTTCTATTATGCTGCACATGTTGCCAGTGGAGCGTGGAAGTGCAACTTGTATTCGGTGTCCCTTCGCTGCTTCCATCTCACTTTCTTGTGTTATGCATTCTCTGCCCAACAACATCCCAACGCAAGCAGAATCCACGAGACCGCAGAAGCCTCTCACCACTGCTATGCATCGAGCCCGGTCTTGGACGGGATATGCAAAAACTCGCACTTCGCCGACCTGCTTGCAACAACAGTGTAACAATCATGGCACGCCACACTAACTGCCAACGGGATATGTTGAAGGACAACCTTGCAGCTACCGTTCATGCTGCCGAGGAGCACCTCGGAAAGTTTCTGTCGCCATCGATTCTGGCTCTGCTGAGCCGGTACAACCTGACCCAAAGCAGCGAGTGCTTCGTGAGCACAAACGACCAGCCTGCGCCAAGTGACATCACAAAGCCATCTGAGCGACTCTCTTCGCTTTTGTTTACATTGCACTCGCTCTGTCCCACCCCAATCCTGGAACAAGAACTCCCTTGCCAAGCTGGCGGCCATGACGCCAGCGATGGCTGATCCATGCCTGCACGCAACGGCAATCGCGCACCAGGGAACAGCGGAACCAGGTCCGATGTTGCTGGATGCAGTCCACGATGCTGGCAATGCTGGCCCCTATAAGCATTGAATACTTGAGTTCGGCAGCGCACCGGCGCTGCAGTGATCAATCCATCAAGCGGCCAAAAGGCGCCATGGGAGGCCACGTGCATCCCAAAGTTCTCTCAAATGTCCACCATCGTGCACGCTGAAAATGTCACAATCAACTTGCATGGTGTGGCATATAATGTCGTCAAACACGACGTTAGCATTGCAGCTGTTGCGCCATGTCTTCCCCTGACGCACTTCCATGGATGCACATGCCCAAAATATTTTTTTTTGTTTACGGGCCTTTTCCCTTGGCATGAGTCTGACGGGCCCGCCGCTCGTTTCAGCGGAGCCTCCTATACCCTACAGGCATCTACAAGCCGCGTAGCGGCAGGCGGCTCGGCCCTGCTGCGTCAGCAAGGTCGAGCACGCGTTGGCTCGCGTGGACAGGCGCGGGCCAAGCTGACCCGAGGGCCGTGCTCG